GTATTATTGATCATTACAAACCTTCGTGTGATTATTCTATTCAGTAACCGTTGTACGCTCCGGCCTTCTTCCGGTTGTTGGGATTTCGAACTGAACCCTTTATTTCGCTCACTGGGGTAGACTGTTCTAGTTCCAGGTGCCATGTTTGATGGATGTCAGTTATCAGTTATCTCCTGTTAATTTCTCTCTGAATGTTCTCCACTGCCTTAACCGAGTATTAACAGTGGATAAAGGCGTTGGTTAGATCCAGTGACAGGACCCAAAAAGTGTGAGTTCAATACCCGGAGCGTACAACGGCCGAAACGTTGTGATAAATATGGCGACAAGGATGAGGAAAATAGTCCGAATAATGTAAATAATGTGGAGTGACCTTTGTTGTAAAAATATTGGCTAAAAGAAGCCAATCTTTCCCCATTGAGTTATGAGAGCTCCACTATTGCCTAAGATGGAGGCGCTGGTATTGGTTACTATGAGTTATGGAGCATAACATTTAAGCGTGAATTAAGGGTGAAAATTTGGCCTTTGTTAGAGGATTATGTGTGCGATAAAAGTCTCTGTACCGGAAATGATCTATTCTAAAATGAGGGTGGGCCGTTCTGAAAACTCGAATTTTGAAGAAAGCTGTGAAAAATGCTTCTAATATGTGAGATGAATACGAAGAGAGATATCAAAGGAAGCCTGATAAGCAAGACAAAGAGACAGAAAGAAACAGAAAAAGGCAGATAAATAGGAAAGGTCTGAGATGGATAATCACAAGTGAACACACACACACACACACACACACACACACACACACACACACATATATATATATATATATATAATAAATAAATTGAGCTATTATATATATATATATATATATATATTTTTTTTAAGCATTACACCCCAAGCAAGGCGGGGAGCCACTAGGACATAAGGGGTTACAGAAAATAGGAAGATCAGATAGTAGTGATAAAAGAAAGGATGAGGGTAGTAGATAGATTAAAGGCAACTGGAGATGTCGATTGGCATTACACTTGAATAGTTGGAGATTATAGCTCTCAGGGAAACAGGAGAAGGAAGAGAGTTCCACAGGCGAGAGGTGCGAGACATGAAGCTATTAAGTGAGAAGAGACGGCTACATTTAGGAGTTTCGACAGTGAAGGGGTGAGAGCAGGATGCCAGCCTCGTAGGGCGCTTGAACTCATGAAGTTTGGGAACCAGCGAATGCAGTTCCTCGGAGCAATTTCCATGAAAGTATTTATAGAACAGACAGAGGGAGGCGACGGTGCGTCTGTGAGAAAGTGACTGTAGACGAGACGCCAGGGCAGGGCCAAATATATAATAAATAAATTAAGCTCTAGTTGTGGATCAATTTTAATATTTTATATTATTAGGATTCACATGGATTATATATCAGCGTATTTATTATCTTTACCATATATATATATATATATATATATATATATATATATATAATCCAAGTGGTTCCTAGTAATATAAAATATTAAAACTGATCCACAAAAAGAGCTCAATGTATTTCTTATAACAGAGTCAATAAAAAGTATTACACAAGGATTGAAAAATTAATATAATATATTATAGATTATATTAATTTAAATGCCATCCCCTTATGTCAGGTAATATATATATATATATAAATATATATATATATATATATATATATATATATATATATATATATATATATTAAGACATTTTATGTTGAACATTCTTTTTATAGGTACAAATATTTAAGTAAATGCTCTGTTTATAATAAACAGTATTAAACAACATTTACCGGCCTGAACATTTACTTAAATATTTGTATCTATAAAAAGAATGCTAAACATAAAAAATGTCTTAAAATAATTTGTCGGACATTGTCCATTTCATATATATATATATATATATATATATATATATATATATATATTATTGACTCCCAGGTGGGCATCTACGTGGACGACACTACAATTTACTCCTGCCTCAAAAACAAATCTAGTGTCGCTGACAAAAACTAACCTGGCCGTTCGTCTCGAAAAGGACCTCCAATCGGTTGTGAACTGGAGTCGTAATTGGCTGGTTAACTTTAACACCACCAAAACAAAACTGCTCCTTATTAAACACCACAGAGATCCTTTCCTGTCCCGCCACATTAGAATGTCTGACGATCAAATTCCCGAAAGCGCCTCGCTGCGGCTGCTCTGTCTCACGTTGTCTACTGACCTGAGATAGAACCAGATACATTGAGTCAATTGCTTCGTCCACCGCTTGGAAGGTTGGCTCCCTGTGCCGCGCAAGGAAATTTTTCTCCCCGGAATCGTTCCTTCAAATCTACAAATCAACCATTCACCCTTGCATGGAGTATTGCTGCCATATATGGTCTGGAGCCCCTTCTGTTTGCCTCGGGGTTCATGATAAGATCCAGAGACGGATATGCAATATAATTGGCCCTGATCTGACATCTCGTCTGCAGTCGCACTCTCACAGACGTGCCGTCGCCTCTCTCTGTCTTTTTTACAAATACTTTCATTGTAATTGCTCCGATGAGCTGCTTTCGCTGGTTCCAAGATTTCGTGAATTCAAGCGTCCTACGAGACTGGCTACCCGCTGTCACCCTTTCACTGTTGAAACTGTTAAATGTAGCAGTCTCTTCTACTCCAATAGCTTCATGTCTCGCACCTCTCGCCTGTGGAACTCCCTTACCTATTCCTGTTTCCCTGAGAGCTATAATCTCCAACTATTCAAATGTAATGTCAATCGACATCTCCAGTTGCTTTGATCTATCCACTATCCTTCTCTTCATCCTCTCCTCTATCATTCCTATGTTCCCTCGCTCCAAATCCTCTGTAACCCCTTGCGTACCAGTGGCATCCCGTCTTGCTAGGAGTGAAATGCTTAATATATATATATATATATATATATATATATATATACATGACGTCACAGACTACGAAATATTTAAGTAAATGGTCTGTTTATATAAACAGTATAAACAATATTTACTGTCCTGAATATCTGAGAAATTTTCATCGGAAAATATGTCGGGGGACATATGTTTTCTATGAAAATCGCGTGGACGTTCAGGCAGGTGAATGTTGCTAATACCTTTTATTATGAATAGAGCATTTACTTAAACATTTGTATCTATAAAAATAATGTATAAACAGAAGACAGCTATATACATAGATTTATGTTAAATTGGGATTACATTTTTTTTTTAAATTTTAAACTATATTTTAAATTGAAAGTTAAATTACGTAACTGTCAATCTATACTCAGCGCCTGAAATTTGCATTGTGCATGAAACTCCGTGTTATCAGAGAGGGATAATATGAATATTTATTAATATATACTTAATAGATTTGTTATATTACATCGATCACTGTTTTATAAACACCAGTACTTTATGTGCGGTACACACACACACACACACACACACACACACACACACACACACATATATATATATATATATTTATATATATTATGAAATGTACAAAATCCGACAATTATTTTAAGACATTTTATATAAATATATTATATATATAATTTATATATATATATATATATATATATATATATATATATATATATATATATATATATATGTATGTTAAGATGGACAAAGTCCGACAATTTATTTATTAAAGACATTTTTATGTTTAACGTTCTTTTTATAGATACAAGTATTTAAGTAAATGCACTGTTTATAATAAACAGTATTAAATAACATTTACCGGCCTGAATGTCCGAGAAATATTCATAGAAACTATTCGTCCTTTGACAGGATTCGAACCTGCATCCTATACGGAACCGTCATTTACGCTGACGTGCCTTAACCGACTTAATATATGACGTCATTTGTTTACATTTGGTACACCATGAGCAGTTATGAATGTACGAGATTCATGGAAGATTGAAGTTTATAAGCAGTAAATTCGACCTTGCCTACCGAACGCTCCTTCCGGCCTTCTTCAGGTGGTCGGAATGTCGAACTGAACCCTTTATTTCGCTGACTGGGATAGACTGTTCTCGTTCCACGTGGCATTTTCAATGGATGTCACCTATCAGTTATCTCCTGTTGATTTCCCTCTCCAAGTTCTCTACTGCCTTAACTGGGTATTGAATTCACATTCTTTGTGTCATGTCACTGAATCTAAACAACGCCTTTATCCACTATGCTATGTGTCCTCAAGGACACAAGGCACAGTGGATAAAGATTAATAATCGATTAATCTTGTCAGCTATCGATCTATTCGACAGCCCAAGATCATGAAAAGCGGCTACTTGACCTTTCTCAAAGTCAGAACAATGTTGAGGCATGTTAATAAATGTAAATACAAATATAATAAGCTTTATATTTTGTTCATCATCATTTCTATGGATGCGTCCATTTTTTTTTGACACGTACTGTATGCAGCAATCAGTTAAGTGCCATACGGAATACATGCTTAGGCAATCATGTCTCTTTCGATTTATGACAGACTAGACAGAAGATCTTCCCGCAGTAGGTTGCCATTTATTTCTGCGTAGACTGGTTGCCAAACAAGGCTATAGCACCAAGCTGTTCAATCCATAGTTGAACCGGCTGTTTTGAATTTAGAGGTTTGCTTTTTCAGTTTGACAACGAAAGCTATAGAGCCGAATCATTTCAGGTATTTATACACCGCTGGGGATATAGATTCATACCCTTCCCAAGGGTTATTAGCGCGTAAGTGAATGTAATCAACAGCACTGGAATTCGAACTCGGTTCTCCGATTCCACAATCTGTGCTGGTATCCATTAGTCCATCGGGCTCTTTCTCTCTAACACACACACACACACACACACACACACACACACACACACACACACACACACTCTCTCTCTCTCTCTCTCTCTCTCTTTCTTTCTCTCACTCTCTGCAATAGTGAAAAACAAAATGAAAGAAAAATGTGAAGAAAAAAGGAAAGAAAATATGATTAGAAAGAGAAAAAAAGAATCAATGATAAGAAAGAATGAATAAATATAAATATCAGAAGAAAAAAAGAACGAAAAGCGAAAGGCGGGATAGATAGATAGATAGATAGATAGATAGATAGATAAATTGGTGAAGGGTTACAGATAGATAGATAGATAGATAGATAGATAGATAGATGAAGGATAGATAGATAGATAGATAGATAGATAGATAGATTGGTGAAGGGTTACAGATAGATAGATAGATAGATAGATAGATAGATAGATATATAGATAGATAGGTGAAGGGCTACAGATAGATCGAGAGATAGCTATGAATACATAGATAGATAGATAGATAGATAGATAGATAGATAGATAGATAGATAGACAGAATCTGTGGCAGATAAAAAGAAAGAAACTGGCAGATAGATAGATAGATAGATAGATAGATAGATAGATAGATAGATATGAAAAGGCTGCAAAAGACAGAAAGAGATAGATAGATAGATAGATAGATAGATAGATTGGTGAAGGGTTACAGATAGATAGATAGATAGATAGATAGATAGATAGATTGGAGAAGGGTTACATAATCGATAGATAGATAGATAGATAGATAGATAGATTGGTGAAGGGTTACAGATAGATAGATAGATAGATAGATAGATAGATAGATGTAAACTATGCGATAGAATGGAAGCGTTAGAATATGTCCGTGAGCGAGAGAGGGACAGAGAGAGAGTGAGAAAGAGAGAGAGTGAGTGAGAGAGAGGCAGTGCGCTTTGTGGTAAAGAGTAAGAAAGATAGAAGGTGATAAGATTAAAAAGAACACCCCACCTCCAAAAACCCCCCCCAAAAAAAACAAAAGAAAAATAAAACAAAGATAAAAACAATGTACGCAACAGAGATAGCAAAACTGAGCCCCAGTAGGTGGAAGATGACCTTTTTTGGCCCAAACTTGTTTCTCTTGCATTATCTGACATTTTGACAGGTCAAGCCGTTTAGGTCAATCGAGCAACCACTCCCTGTCGCTTCGAAGAAAGAACACGCGAATATCGGGAAGAGCCAAGGGAGGCAAACGAAAGAAATACGGGGGGGAAAAAAAGAGGAGAAAATCAAAGAACACAAAAGCAAAAAATATTGATGGAAATGTAAAGAAAGAAAAGAGAGAGAATAGAAAGAAGAATAAAAGAAAGACTAAAACAAAGATGAAAGAAATCGAAAAGGAAAAGATAGACAATGTAAGGACTGAAGGCATGCAAAGAGAGGAAAAGAGAGAGAAAGTATGAAGAAAAAGAGAAACGGTATTAAAAATGAGTAGAAATAGAAAAAAGAGGGAAAGAATAAATAGAAAGAGAAAAGGAAAGAAAAATGAATAGAAAAAGAAAAAAAAATATTATTATTATTTTTAAAGTAGTTCACCCCAAGCAAGGCGGGAGTGCCACTAGAACGCAAGGGGTTACAGAGGATTGAGAACAAGAGTAAAGAGGCGTGTCTGAGGAAAGGATACAGAGAAGGGCGAGGAATAATCTCAGGGTACTAGATGTCGATTGATATTACATTTGAATATTTGAAGATTATAGTAATCGGGTAAGCAAGCAAAGGGATGGGAGTTCCACAGGCGGGAAGTGCGAGAGAAGAAGCTGTTGGAGTAGAGGAGACGGTTACATTTAACAGATTTGACAGTGAGAAGGTGGGACCGAGATGCCAGCCAGGTAGCTCGCTTAAATTCATGCAGTCTGGGAACCAGAGAAAGTAGCTCGTCAGAACAGTTGCCGTGAAAATACTTGTAGAAGAGACAGAGGGAAGCCATGGCAGATCTGTGAGAAAGCGACTGTAGACTAGACGCTAGATCGGAACCTATCACATTGCATATTCGTCTCTGGAAAAGAACGAAAAGAATGAGATAAAGGGAAAAAAATGAACGTAAATATAAAATAGAGAGATTATCAGAAAAGAAAAAAATAATGAGAAGAAAGTTGAACAAAAATGTAAAAGAAAGAAATGAAAAGAAAGAGAAAACAAAGAACAATTTACAGTAACAGAAAACGAACGAATACAAAAAGGAGTTTTGTTGGTCTCTAGCTCAACTGCGCCTCAAACATAATAATCAAGGAAGTTGCAGTCTGGGGATTGAGATGGGCATATATAACAGGTGATGTGGTCGTAGAAATTTTGATAGATATATGTCTTAAAATAAAATTTTCATTTTGCATAATTCAGACAATTTCTTCCTAAAACCCTGTATACATACAGGGTGGACCAAAAAACTTTTACAAACATTGGGACCGGGTTCCACACACGAAAACAAGGTAAACTGTCCATATAAACATATATCTAAAAGCAGAACGTGTTCTTCGATGTCAGGCGTACGAGATGATATCGGTCTTCCACAGTCAATAGTTTGTATTCCAACGAATTCGCAACGACAAACAGTAGCAAAGTTAGATGACTAAGCTGTCTTTGGTCTGGAAACAATTTGCTACAGCCGTGCAGCCTCGTGTCCATTACAATTCGCGCAACCGTATTTAAATATCATTCATATCTACCTGCTCAGGATATGAATATCTTGCCATTTTTTAACGGAACACTTCTCTTTTAACTCACTACTACAAAAATATTTTTGTTACACCATATATATATATATATATATATATATATATATAATTATATATATATAAAAAAAAAACAGACCACTAGTATAATATACGTACCATTATAATAATTTATTTCACCAGAGCCCTTTTAAAGGACGCCGGATCATCATATATATATATTCAAGTATAGGATTGGTGTATACGGAATAAATCCCAAGAATCAACAAATACTATTCTTAAAAGAATGCTCAATACAGAATAGAGCAAATATAATTATAATAAATTTATTATATAATTGGGATAGATTTGAACCTTTTAAAACCCTTTATTCTACATTCAACACCATCACTTGATAAGACAGCAGAACTGTTGAAACAAAATGGCAATTTTTGTAGTGATTTTATAACATTTATGTTATAAATTTCGAATAAATTATTACATATATATATATGTGTGTGTGTGTGTGCCGTCCGCTTTATCTAGTATCTAAGAATTTAATTCTTTTCTAATGGCTAATGATAATGGCGTTGATGAATAAGTAGACCAATTCTTGCATGCAAGATCAAATTGCATCGACTACATATTAATGTCGGTGGAGGACAAGGTCGATTTTCTCTTGTAGTTTGATTTCTTTCTTTTCTTTTCTCGTGGCGTCAAAGTTTTGGGTTCAGACGCTGACGGAACATATGTTTCAAACGATGTATACTCAAGTTCAGTGGCTTTCAGCGTTGTTCTAACATGGTCCTTGTATCTTCAAAGAGGGCAACCCCATGGCCTTTCCCCTGAAGGAAACACAACGTATAATATTAGACGTGGAAAACCATTGACTCTTCCATTCTTGCTATATATCCTGAACATCGAAGATGGTGTTTGATGATGAGCGATTCGATGCTTTGACTGTTGATTCTTCCAGGATTTTGTGTTGATTATATAGCAATTCCAGGTGAGTAAATGAAGCTTCTGCTAGTGTAAGCGTTCTAATTATGGGATGTGGCGAGGACATAGCGTCCCGATTTCTCAACCATATCGCAAAATCGAAATGACAACAGGCCATAATTCTTAAGTTAAGATCTTGCATTTGATTAGCTTTCTACACACACACACACACACACACACACACACACACACACACACACACACACACATATATATATATATATATATATAAGGTTTGTCTGACGATCGCAAAAGGCGAGAAACCCAGGGTCACAAACTAACATCAAGCCAACAAAATTCGTTAGCTCTATCAATGATATTGGGCGCTTTTCAGTAAGTAGCGCGCATATATAACATAAATAATGTATATAAAATTGCATATATATATATATATATATATATATATATATATATATATATATATATATATATATAAAACATTAGGCAGCATATAATTTATATACAAAGAAAAAAATCATACATAGCAATATTAATGCTTTTATTGGAGACAGCCATCGCTAGTAGTGTATAATGTATGCATTAAAATACTGTTAATCCAGAGAGTGACGTGATCCTCATTTATAAAACTGTTGTCTGTTGTTTCCAGTTTATATTTTTTTAAAATGCAAGTACTTTCGAATAATCCTTTATTCATCGTCAGGCATATTTTTTCCTTTTAAAATCAAAAACTTGAAGACGAAATAATTGTTTGTAGACCGAAAGATTTTTTTTTTCTTGAGTATGTGCTAATAAGGGGGGAGGTGGAGTAGAAGAGGGAGGAGGATGATTGCAAGAAAAAGAAGGAGGAGAGCGAGTAGAAGAAGAAGAAGTTTAAATCTAATCTCGGAGGATCAGTTTCAAGTGAGAAAATGTCCTAATTTTTAAGTCTATCGGTGCAAAAGCATATTTTTAACTTCCGGAATCAATTTGGTAAAACATTTTTGTACGTTTTCTCATTTTTCGATGTTTTCCCATCCAAGAATCTGTGTATATCTGCAAATACATTTTATAAACTGTCTCATCACGCAGACACATGTTTCTTTTCTTGACTCATTTAAAAGAATTTTCGAAATGGTGATTATCATAAGAAGCATTACAAGTCTCTCTTCTTTCTTCAATTTAGCGCTCCTTAATCCAATCAGCAGTTGCGCAATGTTGATTGAATCGTTTTGTTCGGTTTATCAACTCTTTGCAGGTTATTCAAGTCCAGGCAAATCTATAGAGTCTGTATGGCTTCCTTGGCAGATAATGATGGTCTGGTGCATGTGATCAACGTCGAGGTTTTGGAGAAAATGAAACCAAAAAAGGAAATTTATACTTAACATCCGAAAGAGACACTTGAAATTCTCGGGGCACGTATTGAGGACGGAGGGATTGGAAAATCTGATACCCACAGGACAGTTTGCGGGAAAGAGGAACGCATCACCTAACTAGCAAGCTTGAGTGAATGGATGGCGGATCATGTTTTAGGGCAGGTAAGAAAATTTATTAATAGTTACAAAGGACAGGAAACTGTGGAGAGCCACTAACATGAAGGGACCATAGAAAAGGAGAAAAACGAGCTTCAGCAAATGGGTGATGGGGATAAGTTTTAGTCGTGATAAGAAAACAAAACAGCGCGTGATATATTGGATGGGCTTGTGCAAAACAATGGTAGAAATAATAAGAGGCGAAACCTATTCAAAGCTACAAGTGACAGGAAGATGTGGAGGGGCATGATCACCTCCGTCCTGAAGGAACATAAAAGAAGAAGATGCAAGTCTTACTAATTAACACATAGCTGGGGGAGAAGAAGTGGATTCATAAGTTTGCCGGGATTATTTGCGCCTAAGTGAATATAACTAACCCAAAAAGAATTGGAACTCTTCAATTAACATCCCGAGATATTATTCATTACATGACCCCCCCCAACCACATCCAAGATTACAGTACCTGGTATTATAAAGGGGTAACCCCTCGAGGTATAGGCCAGGCTTGACGTTACTTAATTGGGGTGATCGTAGGGAACCCGTGTTTCAACGTGATATAGCCGACAGCTTTAACTGCACGGAGGACATCGCTAAAGATGTAGTAACGATGGCAAATATCTTGCCTGGATTTTTGAAATTGTTTCCGTTTATTTAAGACTAGCAGCATGGCCCGGCGTTGCCCGTGCTTGATTCAAAAATCGTACAACTCATACAGCAATCGCTATCACTTGACTTAAAATATTTTTACCCTTCCTTGCCTTTAAAGGAGTGCCTTTTGACGTGCTGATGTTGCTACATGCCTTACTTCTTGCCTATCTCACACTGCGAATTTTTACGAAGCTCTATACTAAACATTAAATCTGTTACGAAAAAAGAACTAAACAAAATGAACACAAAACGATCAGCTTTAAAAAAGGACTCGTAACTGGAAAAACCGAATGAAAAAAGAATGTTAGCAACAAATACTTTTT